CAAACTGTAGCATATCCTGCCACTCCGGATAAAAGATATTGCTTTCTACCCTCTTGTAGGTGCTACATAGGGATGTAAGGTGTCATGTGACTCATATTAAAATGATTTGAATATATTCTTCATATCAATGTGCCCAGTTCCTGCTGAAGTTTATGAATTTGTATGAAAAATGACTCACGTGGGATGTACGTTTTATCGCACCCTCTGCTGTAATGCTTACAGGTCGTGACAGACTGAGTTATGGTTTTACGACCGGGCAGAGGAAAGTGGTTGTCAAGCAGACATTCTGGAACCAGGCTAATTAGGGATTTACAGCCAGGAGTATGATATGCACTTTCGACCCCAGTTCATTTACAGACCACACTCCATTCCAAAGGGAGGGGGGATGGAGGGAGAATCGAGACAAAATGGTAGACATAACAATATGGTTGCCAGTGTCTGTGTCTAAGCGCACAATTGCCACAATCCCTTTTTCATTAGTGGCTCATAATGGTGCAGTAATTTAAAGCAATATTACAGTATTACAAAACCCAGGACCCTGCATTCACTATATCTGGTCTCCCACAGTACACACATCATGGAAATGCCATTATTTTAGTTAATATAAACTGCTAAATACCTTTTCTCATCAGCGGTATATAGCAGTCTTGTCACTTCTATCCGTGTCTGGCCGAGCACTGGTTAATTTTGTTGGAGGAGTTTTCATTCTCCTCTGACTGTCCTATGATGTTGCATGAACCCTGAACCTCTGTCTGGACAGTGCTGATTGGCCCTGTGCTGATCACATGCACCTTCCCAAAGAAAAAAAAAAAAAAGCTCCGTACTATCAGCAGATGGATTGGGGACAGTAGAAAAAGGGGAGGATCAGAGAAGACAGGATCAAACAGCCTTTTTACTTAATGCGGAGGATTAACCCCGTAGGTTCCACAGTGAGTATAACAAGTGTGCTTTACTGCATATACAGAATGATTTTACAGTTGTGAGTTTAGTAACACTTTAAACCCAAAACCAGAAATTAAATATATTGCAGTTCACCAATCAGTTGATGGTGGTGATTGTTAGTTTTCCTTTTTTTAGACTTTTCTCCCTGCTGTTTTCACCTGGTGATCTGACCAGTAACACCCATTCCCCCGTGTTAGAGTGCCCCCACTCTAGATGAATGAGCACAGGGCGCAGATATGGACAGCAGCATTTTCAGTCTGGGCGGAGGAGAGTGTTTAGAAGTACTAGTAGATTTAAGTACGCTAACAAATTGAAGCTGAACTCCAGCTAATAGTTTCTAATTGGTTACAGCAATTATAAATAGAGCCTAATGAAGGAAACTAGTGCAGCCAACACCTTTAAGAATTGGTACAGTGCAATATATTGTATGCCTTTGGGTTTAATACCTGTAAACAGGAATTTCAAATGCTTATGCAGAAAGTCACTCTGTAATAACTTCTTTCAAGCAGTGTTTTGAAGATTGCTGTTGCTGAATACCAAGCATGTGAAACGCTTGTTTATCATTTCTTAATATGTAAAAGGTCCCCTCTAACATCACCTTCCTGCTTACACCAAGTAAAATGGTGGGCATAGTCGGGCAGTCTTGTTGAGTGCTGGTCATAGCTACCACAGCTCTGCCACACCAGAGGATTTTGGTGGCTGGGGTAGAGGGGGCCTTGTAAATTCCTGCAGCCGACAGCATACAAGGGACACACCACAGCAAAAGTAGATTTTTTATTTTTTTTTTTGGTTTAGGATTTAAACTTGATTATTCTCAATGTTCAGACATGCAGCACAATTTGTGAAGTTCTTGTAAAGTTATGTTTTCTGTTCACATCTTATTGCTTTTCTTTGATAGTTTCCCGATTTCAGAAAATACACTGCTCAAAAAATTTAAAGGAACACTTTTTAATCGAGTATAGTATAAAGTCAACTAAACGCCTGGGATATTGATCTGGTCAGTTAAGTAGCAGAGGTGGTTGTTGATCAGTTTCAGCTGCTTTGGTGTTAATGGAATTAACAGGTGCACTACATGGGCAACACTGACTATTTTTCACTAGTTTTGCATTTCGCTAGGGTCATTGTCACTACTGGTAGCATGAGGCGATACCCGGATCCTACAGAGGTTGCACAGGCAGTCCAACCCCTCCAGGATGGCACATCAATACATGCCATTGCCAGAAGGTTTGCTGTGTCTCCCAGCACAGTCTCAAGAGCATGGAGGAGATTCCAGGAGACAGGCAGTTACTCTAGGAGAGTTGGACAGGGCCATAGAAGGTCCTTAACCCATCAGCAGGACTGGGATCTGCTCCTTTTTAAGCAGTGCATTTTTGGATAAAGTTGCTATGTAATCTGGTTATCCAAGTAATATGTTTGTAATTGTACAACTGCCAGTAAAACATATGTTTTATCAAAATGTGCTACTTTATTTACAGAAGGTATAATAGTCCTCTTTAGAAAGCTTCAGTATATTTAAAGGAATTTGTTTCATATTCCTTCATTGTAAAATATAGTGGATATATTAAGGCCCATCCTGTGCTGCCTCCCAGTCCCATCCCACTATTATATTCTCATCTTTTGTTGTAGGTTCTTTTTGTATTTCTGTTTTGCTTGGGAAAAGTTAATGTAATGAAAGATCTGTTGCGTTCGGATATCTGAATCCATTCAAGAAAAATCCTGGGGTTTTCCTCCTGCCTGGGCAGCACAGGTGTTGTGTACAGCCACCCATAGACATGAATGGCTGTGCGCAACTGTACTGAGGTTTACTTTGATACTCGTATAAATACTTGTATAGCATATGGGTGTATACAAGAATTAGAAAATAGAGTACAGCTGTGTACAGTCATTTGTGTCTATGGGTCTATGTCTACGCATTATCTGAACTACTCAGGTGGGGCAAAAATGCTGAAACACTGTGTCCAAGATAGCTTAAACTCTGTTTTTAATTAATCCTTCCTTCTAATATTTGTGTTGGGAGAGGCCAATACAGATGTGATATGTGCAATGGCTAAAATGTTCCTAAACTCACAACAGTAAAACCAGCCTGTATATGCAGTAAAGCATGCTTGTTATACTCACTGTGGAACCTAAAGGGTTAATCCTCTGCATTGTGTAAAAATGCTGTTTGATCCTTTCTTCTCTGTTCCTCCCCTTTTTCAAGCAACCACCACTTATCTCCAGACTGAACTGTAGGCATGCACATGCTCGGTTTGGTGTGTATTGCTAGGGAGGTTTTTTTTTTTCCTTGAGTGCATGTGATCAGCACAGGGCCAATCGGCACTGTCCAGACAGAGGTCAGGGATTTCCATCCTCCTAGAACAGAAAGAAAACTCCTCCTACAAGCTTTAGCTAGTGCTGCGATGGACACAGATAGAAGCCACTAACTTCTGATGAGAAAAGGTATTTAATAGTTTATATTTACTAAAATAATTGCACTTCCATGTTCTGTGTGCTGTGGGAGACCAGATATAGTGAATGCAGGGTCCTGGATTTAGTAACACTTTATTGGGGGCACAGTAAGCACAACTCCAATCTGAGAATCAAACCATCTAATTCAATGGATAGAAGCGGGTTTAAATCTAGCCTAGTCTAAAGTTAGGCCAAAAATACATAGTCTCCTAGCAATTAAAGAAAATGAGAACAAGCATCGATTTTATCTAAGCCTCCCTTCCTTGGATGACCTGAAAACCATGCTTGTCCTGCCAAAATATGTGCTCTTTTGAGGTATGCCACAATACGAAAGATGGATTATCTTGCGTTCCTAATGACGGATCATATTAGGTACATTAGTTAAGCAGTGACAGGATACTGGCATGTATGGTCAGCACATGATATCTACTACTTTGGGTCACTGGGGTTAAGTTAATAAAGGAGCACATGTTTGCTTAGCTTAAAGGATAACTCCACTTTCATGGGGAAAAAAAGAGCAAATAAATTATAGCATATACAATTGCAACACAAGTCATATTGTAATTGAATGTTATTAGAAATGACTTTTCCTTGTCAATCTACAGTGTTCTAATCTTCTGCATTGCAATAAGGCTACCTGGAGGTGTTCTGTACACATATGGTGTACACAACGCTCCCCAGATAAGTAATTTCCTCCTTGTGTGATTGGCTCACTGGTTTTCCCAGAAGTCTGCACTAAGTCAGATTTCAGGTGTCTCCTGCAACAAAAATGTAATTTTTGGTGAGATGCTCCCAATAGGAAAGTACATCTAAAAGGATGCAGACTCTGCAGGTACGGCAGCTGAATGATTATGAAACCACTCCCATACAGAATCACTTTGCACATGGACACAGACAAACAAATGGTTCTCTCTTCAGATTAACAAAAGGTAGAAAACTGCAACAAAGTTTGTTAAAATCTTTGCAACATACATAGATCACCCAGAGGGGAATGTTTTTGTTTTTTTTTTCTTTACGAAAGTGGAGTTACTCTTTAAGATGACCATAGAGGACTTTTTTTTTTTTTTTATCAGCCAGCGGGTAAGAAAAATAACTGACAAATAAGGTATATGGGGGAATCCTCTCAGCTGTGCTATTTTATTCCGTTAGTGGGACATCTCTGGTGTCAGAATATACTGATCAGTGCTGTAGATGATTGGCTGCAAGTGGTGGTGGAATGAAAATATACCAACAGTTTAGTCCAATAGACTGACTCCTCTGGAACGGGAACGGACATAGATGAATAAAAAGTTGGCCAGTCCCTGCTGCACCAGCCGAATTTTGATCCATCTATGGACCACTTTAGTTAAGTCACTTACACCCCAACCATCCTAATAAATGCAAAGGATCTTTGTTGGTTTATTTTAATTTATCTGCTCGTGATTGTGTGTTAAATGTGAACACGGGCAAACTAATAAGGAGAATACTTTACTTTTCATAAATCACCTCCAGTAATTTTGTTAGTAAAGATAAATGACACTGAAAGTTTCTAGCAGTTTTGAATGTAATATTCTGCTATTGATTAAAACCTTATTTGACCATCTGTAATGTTTTATGATATTTTCTTTTAGAGAGAATGTGGAAGACTTCACCGGCCCAAGAGAAAGGAGTGACCTCGGATTCATCATATTTGATATAAATGCAGATATCCTTTATGAAGCACGCAAAATGCTATTATATGTGCTATTGTATGATTCCCCCCACATTCTCTGTCTGAATGCTGATAAACTTAATCCCTTTGATAACATGTTCTGCAGGCACAAAATCCCAAGGTTATGTTTACTTTTGTTGTCATTGCCAAAAATACAGCAAATTATTGCAGCAGAGTTTACTTTACTCTGAACATATATGCTGCTCTGCCAAGACACAATTTTTTTCTCATGATGTTATGTTAGAGCATTGCTTTTTAAATGGTTTATGAAGGCAAGAATGCTATAATGAAAGGAGACAGATATGAAATATGTCTTAAAGGTTCTCAAACGTGTGTTTTCCTGAAGTTTGACTATCTAGAGGTGTCTTATCACAGCATATGTGATAAGTGTCAGTCTTGTGGACTTTACATTCCCTAGACTGCAGAATCATGTTTCTTCTCTTCCCAGTCATGATGGCCTGCTTTGGCAGAAGTTTGTGTGTGTGTCAAAAGTTTAATTTTTTAGTCTAGAATAAAGCAACTTTCTTCCTCTAGACAATTGCTATTTAGATTTTTTTGTTCAAAACTAGAATAGTTAGTAAACCTTTACTGTGTGATACAGCAAACCTCTTGAGTTTAAGTCCTACCTGGATCAGGGTGCACTTTAGGTACACACAGAAGGGCGTTTTTCCTCCTTGTGGGCTGTACCCCTCTGCACTTTGGTTGATTCTGTTCTGAAGGGAGACCTTCGGAAAGCATTAGAGTGCTTATTTTTTCAAACTTTGTAAATTGACAGAGGCAAATAAACATTCTTTTTACAGGAATAAGTTGTGCAGTAGCAAGTGGAGCAAAAAGGAGCAAAATGCATGTTTTTCCTCCATTTGGATGTACTTCTGTACCTTAGATATGCTTTCCTACACCTCAAACTGCTCTTAAAATGAGACGGTTGAAGGGAATAAGCTTTCCAAGCTAATTTAACATAGTATGGATTTTGTTATCAATATCTTAATAAGAAAAGCTACAGTGTCTGCATCCTTTTAAGCATAGATGGGTCTTAGAAAATGTCTTGCCAAAATGAAACTCCTACTGCAAAGTACTTCACCTTAATCAGGACATTGTTCTTCCATCCATTTGTCTAGCTCAGGGGTGTCCAGCCCATGGGCTGCATGTAGCCCAACACAAAAACTTACCTAAAAATTTTTTTTTTTTTTTTTTTTTTTGAATGATTTGTAAAAATGTGTTTACACTTATCAAACACATGCGGCCTAAGGAGAACTTTACAGTGTCTCTTTACTTAATTTTTAAGTTTTATCTTCCCAAAGAAAAATCTCCCATCTCCCACTCTTCACAATCTCTCCTTATGAGGTCATCAGTGTTCGGCATCATCTATATTTGTGAGCAACTATTTCAAGGATGAAGCATATGAAGGGCAAAATATCTGATGAGCACCTTGAGAATTCATTGAGAATTGCTACTACATCCATCAAACCAGATATTGATGTGTTAGTTTATCAAAAACAATGTAAAATATTGTACTAGTTTTATGTTGCCCTCTTTTATTGCCTGACTTTTTCTGCTCATTAGCTATCCTTATTGTTCATGTATAATTTGTGTGGCACTAGACTATTCCTTTTCTTCCATTGTAGCCTAGGATAATCAAAAGGTTTAACACCACTGGTCTAGCTCACGTTCATCACAAGGAGATTTTTCTCCTCCAGTGACTAGATGTGGGTCACACTGTTCATGTTTATCTCTTTGCCTCTGCTCTCATCAGGAAAACTGACTCCCTTTTGTCATTTCTCATGGTCCTTGTAAGGCCTGGTTCACACCCATGTGTTTTTAGGCCTGGTTTGCACCTATGAGTGTTGCAATCTGCTGCAGAAAAAAAAGTCCCTGACCCTTACCAAAAATGCAGAGGCTGAAAACTCATAGATGTCAACGTGTCCCATAGAAAACTATGTTAAATGAACTGTAGTGCATTTCTGAAAAAGCACAAAAATGCATAGATGTGAACCAGGCCTAAATGGGCTCAGACTTCTCATTCCACCATCTCTAGGTGGCTCAAACAAATCCATCATACAAGCTTTTGGTCTGAAGAATAAAGGTCCCAACTTATTCCTACCATGGAAAACTCTACTAGACTTCTACTAGACTAGAGTGCTTCTTAGGCTTTCTGGCATCAGACAGCTGTTTCCCAGATTTGCAAAGCTGCCACCTGTTTTGTTCACATCTGGATGTTCAGGCCTCTTCTGATATCGTCTTCAGGAGTAAGGTGTTTTACGTGGCTCTTGGAGCTGCAGGCATTCCTCAGTTTGTTCTAGTTTTATTTCCTGCGTTGCCTACCCCTCAGTTGGACTGCTTTGGATGTCCCTGTTTCTCATAATTGCTACTGATTCTGTGCAGTGTTAATTACGTTGACTAAAATATTTTCGTCTTATTCTAAGTCAGCTGCATGTATTCAGTGAGGAAAACTAAATGAAAATCAATTAATTTTTGTCAACGAATAAAATGGAACGAAAAAGTGAGAACAGGAAAGTTTACCCACCTGAACTTTCTCTTTCCTTGGAGTTCCACCTGCCTGTTAAAGCCTCAGCCCCCTGACTCTATTGGCAATCTTTACTGGCTGAGGGACTCAGGCTTCCACTGTCTGGTTGCTCCCTGAAAGTTCTGGAACAATGCCTTGCAAACCACACAAGAGAAACTCCCGTCGGATTCGTGTCTGTCTGGACATGACGTGGTGAGTGTTTCCTCTCTTAGCAAGGTAGCAGTGCTTAGCACTGTGTAAAATTACATCCTCCCCAGACCAGTCCAGTTCTCTGCCCTGTCACTCCTTTATTCCCACTTGTAGCCTAACTCTGTATCTATAGTGCATGTTTAAACCTTACTACCATATATAACATATTTGATTTTTACTCCAGGAGTATATAATGAGTTTGGAAATTCTAGAGAAATGCTTAAATAATGCATTACAATTTAACTAAACCCATTAGATTTCAGTTGACTAAAATGTACTGGAGATTTTAGACAAAAACAATTCAGATGACTAAAATATGACTAAAACTAAAATGGCATTATATTCAACAGACTATGACCAAAACCTAATCAAAATTTGATTTCAAAACAGGATTTTTTTGTGCTTATCATAAATTTTGACGTTTTTGACGTTCAATAATGTAGACCTGAAAGGTAAACTTTTTACCCTTCACTGTTTTTATTTGGAATAGAGTAAAGAAAGGGTTTATACTCCATCAGTTTTAATGTTTTCTTTTTCCATCTGTATCCCTTTAGGGGGAAATTCTCTTCATTTCCTGTCCATAACCACAACATGAGGTGAGAAGAAATCCTTCCAAAGTGAGGGAAATCTCTGGTAGTCAACAGAACTAGTGTCCCCATTGGAAACTTTCCCCTAAATACCTGTTATGGTAACCACTTAAAATGTGGGATTTTTTTTTTTCTTCTCACATTTGGTGATAGCAGCCACCAGGACAAATAGGGTGAATCTCCCTAATGGGGACACAGACAGCAATAAAAAAACTGATAGGTGTTCTATTCCCTCTCAGCTCTACCTAAAACAAAAAAAAAAAATGTTTTTCCTTCAGTTATATTTTAAGGGACACAAGTTTTACACGTCTTTGTTGATGATCTACTCTTACATACTGCTTTTCTCTAAAAATTTAAGCATACCACAAATGGGAGGGATTATACATGTCTGGCCAACGTGTGTTGTTTGTTTTTTGTTTTTTTTCTTTTCATTTTTGCCAGTATAAGATTGGTATTGGACTTCTTTAACTTTGATTTTGTGTTATGAATTCATAACAGGGAAAATTTGTTTCTCAAACCTAACAACAAATGTTCCATTATACTAAAAACAAAATCGTTTTGTGCTTTGCTTCCTTTTAATAGTAAATTTTTATAATCATTTATCCTTCATTATTTTAGATAAAAGAAAATGGTAGATTACGCCTGTGTGGAAGAGTAGTTGCTATAAATTCCCTAGAAAAGGATAATCATAAACATTTTGTTGTTTTCCTTAATTACCTTACATTTGCAGCCAATATTTGACTGGAATGTCAAGCAGCTGTTTATATATCTGTCTGCAGAATATGCCACTAAAAGTAATGTAAGTATGATTGTCTTCTTTGTGATTATAGGCTGTCTGTTTGCTGAATAAATCGACCTAAAGAAACATTCATGGCAAAGTGAGAGTCACTGTAAATTACCCATTCTCCTGACATGTATACTTACCCAACCATTAGTTTCTGCTGCCTTCCTGCACTGTGTGAGCCCTGTTTAACAGAATGGGGCTTTCAGGTAGCAGGGGCATGTGACTTCCATGTGACAGTGCTTTTACCTGCTGGTGAAAGCAGGCATCTTGCACAGTATGGCAGGCTTGCCTCTTAGTTTTTCTCTTCTTTAGAAATTACAGATCTCTGCTTGCTGCTCTTCCTGTCCTGTTTTTTTCGGACTAGCCATTGTGAGGACAGTGTTGCAATTCTTGCGCGTGTGTGTAGAAGTTCCAGTATCCTGACATCCAGCTCCATAGTCAGCAAAAGCAGAGCGTGTATGCTGCAAGCCTCTTCTACCAAAAATCTCTCCTTCCTGGCAATTTTTTTATCCCCCCTCAGTTCAGTTTGAGCTAACATTCCCCAAAATTCCCGTGGCTGTGTTTATTAGTCAGTTTGAAGATATCAGTCAAGAAACATGTACTTGCAGATGAGATTTTTTTACTACTGTCATGTCATGCTACAACCACTAATTATTTTTTGTTCACTTAGGGAGGAAAAAAAAGAAAAAAATGTATTCAAAAAGCCAATATTGCATTTCAATAAAGTGTCATTAAACTCAGACTATGAAAAAACTCTAATTACATGCTATATACCAGAGTGTGCATACTCACAAAGCCACTAAAGCATTTGTTTTGTGTAGCCTTCAGCTGTCTCTCCCATCTTCTGTGTGTCCCCACTGCAGCCTGAGATTGTGTAGACAAGCCGGTGTCCTCTATTGAGCATGATCATATTTAATTTCCCTTCTAAGCTCTTCATTTCCTCCTTTTTCTTTCCTGCGCAGCCTACATGACTATAGAGTCACTCATGTGACTGCATATACACAGTGGTAAATGACATTCCTTCCCTCCTCCTCCATGTCTTCCTATTGCTAAACACTATGGGGGCGGGATATCGTATGCTGGTTGATTACATTCACAAAAACGCTTAGTTTTAATATAAAGTTGTATTAAATATCAAATGTATACTTATGAAGTATAAAAGAGCCTTGGATGCAGATGCTGTCTGAACATAATGAAAGCTTTTGTCAATCATCTTTTGACTTCGCTTACAACATATTAACCACTTGCCCTCCTGAGGATTTACCCCCCTTCCTGACCAGGCCATTTTTTGTGTTACGGCGCTGTTTACTTTAACTGACAATTGCGCGGTCGTGCAACGCTACACCCAAATGAAATTTACTTCCTTTTTTTTTCCCCACGAATTGAGCTTTCTTTTGGTTATATTTGAGCGCCTGTGTGGTTTTTATTTTTTGCGCTATAAAAAAAAAAACCTGACAATTTTGAGGGAAAAAAAAAACAATATTTTTGCTATTAAACATGTCCAGTAAAAAAAATTAAAAAATCTAATTGTCCTATATTTAGGCCAAAATGTATTCTGCTACATGTCTTTGCTAAAAAAAAATCCCAATACGTGTAAATGAATTGGTTTACATGAAAGATATAGCTTTTACAAATGGCGGTATAGATACTTTTCTTTACTAGTAATGGTGGCGATCAGCTACTTATAGCGGGACTGCGGCGGACATTCTGGCACTGGGGGGGAACTGACTTGGTGTCGCTGACATCCCCAGCGACACAATACAGTGATCAGTGCTAAAAAAAAAAAAAAAAAAAGCACTGACACTATACTAATGGCACTGAGCAGGAAGGGGTTAACATGAGGGGTGATCAAACAGTTAACTCTGTGCAGGGAGTGATTTACTATGGGGCGGTGTCTGTGTGCTTCACTGTAAGCACACTGCTTTGGATGGCTGTAAGCACACTGCTTTGGATGGCTGTGATGAGATATGCCTTTTGGTGTGCACAGCCATCCAAAGCAGTGTGCCCCAGTGAGGAGAACTGTTAGTAAACAAAACGGTCCTCCCCGTTGGAGATGCTCGGTAATGTGTGTGTATGTGTGTATATATGTGTATGTGATTTTGTGGACCCGTGCCGCCATGTAGCAGTATTTCTGCTATAGAGCGATCGGGAAGCGGTTAGTGTACACAACATACGCATTTGATCTGCAATAAATAATTATAGGGAGCTATAAAACCGTTTTATATTTATAATTTAATATGAGTTGTGCTTCTGAAACAGTTTTTCTTTTGTTACTGATGTGACTGGGCACTGCACCAATCAGGGCTGTCCAGACAGACTCATGCTGTATTAATAGAAGCCCCTTCCTAGGAAGTTTCCCTGCAGATACCAATGAAATGAACAGGGAAACCTCATGTGACCACAGAACAGCTTTTTAGGAATAAGGATGTTCTGTCTTGGCATCGGTTGTACTTGTGGCGAGATTTGTTTAGACCCAGTCTGTCAGAATGTGTGCAGCAAGTTGAATGATCGCCTTAACAGATAGTTTACTCAATGAATAACAACTTCAGAGGTATTTTCCAATGCTTCTTTATACTTCAAGGTAACAAAGGTGTGAACATAAAGGTGTTTTCATAGGTAAATTTCCAGTGCTGTCACATAGCCTCCTCACTCTACAGCATCTTGATAACCACTAAACTAAAATGGGGTTACAACAGGAAATGAAGGTGGAAGCAACCAACTAGTCAGAAACAGCAGGGGTGTGTGGATGATACCAAATAACATTATAATATAACATGTAAATAACAACTGCTAAACAGTAAAGCTGCGTGGCAGCACACTCCCCGTCTGGTATCGAGAGATACCACTACACAATTATTTTCTTCCTTTTAAAATACTATTAACATTGCATACAGTAAAATACTATCTAACCTTCTCAAATCTGCAAGTTAGCTATATTAGAGGTCTTAAGTGACTCCCTCACATAACACTGAATCAGAATTACTAGAAGCAGGCATAATTAGGACAATCTCAGTAACTGGTCTGAGGAAGGTTTTTGAGTCTCCGTCCTTAACGATCCTAACTTCCACACTTCGGACTCTTCCATCATCACTGGCAATGGCTTTTATAATAAGTCCAACTGGCCACTGGATCCGATGAGTTTGCTGGTCTTTTAGCAGGACCAGGTCCCCTTCCTTTAAGTTGGGCTTCTGGGTTTGCCACTTTTTACGTCCTTGGAGAAGAGTGAGGTATTCCTTCCTCCATCTGTCCCAGAAACGATCTGCAAGGTATTGTGCGTATCTCCACTGACGTTTATATATGTCCTTTTCATCGAAAATACCCTTTGGCACTGGAATCTGTCCAATCTTCTGGCTCAATAATGTAGCTGGAGTTAAGATAGTCGGAAATTCTGGGTCTGTAGATACGGCAGTCAATGGTCTTGAGTTGATTACTGCTGTGACCTCAGCAAGGAATGTGGTGAGCACCTCATGGGTAAGGCGTGAAGAACTTACGTCAAGCAACATTGAGTCCAGTATGCGCCTTGCCATCCCAATCATGCGTTCCCATGCTCCGCCCATGTGCGAAGAGTGTGGTGGGTTGAATTTCCATACGCAGCCTTGATCACTCAAATAATTTCCAACTTGTTGTTGGTCTATCTGTAACTCTCTGCAAGCACCAATGAAATTAGTTCCACAATCTGATCTCAACAACTTCACAGGACCTCTTAGAGCAATAAATCTCCTTAGAGCGTTGATAAAACTTGAAGTGTCCATTGACTCAATCACTTCAATATGTACAGCTCTTATACTTAAGCAAGTGAACATTACAGCCCATCTTTTGCTGTTAACTTCACCACCACAAGTTCTTCTGGCCATTACTATCCATGGTCCAAACACATCGATTCCAACATATGTAAAGGGTGCATCTTCACTCAGTCTGTCTGCGGGTAGGTCAGCCATCTGTTGATACTGCTGTCTACCTCTCAACTTCTGACATTTGACACAGTTATGAATAATCGTGGCTATTTGTCTTTTCACTCCAATTATCCAGAACCCTGCAACTCTGATGGTACCTTCAGTATAGTGTCTTCCTTGATGTCTGACTCTCTCATGGTAATGCCGGATAATCAAGGTTGCCAAATGGTGGTTTCTTGGTACTATCAAAGGGTTCTGTTCCCTTCTTAGCAGGTTTGACTTATTCAGTCGTCCCCCAACTCTAAGCATGCCTTCATTGTCGATTATTGGGTTCAGTTTGAATAGTGGGCTACCCCTTGAGACTGGTCTATTGCCTCTCAAACACTTAATCTCTTCTGCAAAGACTTCTTCTTGCACACGACGACGTATGATAAATAACTCTGCCTTCTCATACTCTAACGCATTGGGTGACTCCTTGCAAGTGTGCCATCCATGACAAGACGATGTCTGGTTGGACTTGTGGAAAATCTGTGCAATATGACTCAATCTTGCTATAGTCTTCACCAATCTTTTCCAAGAAGAGAAACGTTCAAAACGTCTTACTTCCAAGTTTCTTCTTGAGCAGATGTTAGAACTCAATGTTATAACTTCAGGGCGGATTTCTTGATCAGTGTCTGGATCCACCAGGTAGAAATCGATATCTTCTTCTGAGTTTGTAGAAGACTGATCTGTTAAAAACTTGGGTCCTGTAAACCAAATGGTTTGCGTGAGGACAACTGCTGGCACTGACCTCGTGGCAATGTCGGCGGGATTCAAACCAGTCGGGACATAGTTCCATTGTTCAGGTCTACTGACTTTTCTTATTCGTTCTACCCTGTTAGCCACGTACACATAGAACCTTCATACACTGTTGCATATGTAGCCAAGTACGACCTTGCTGTCAGTATAGTACTTAACCTGATCAATTTCAGTGTCCATTTCATTTTGCAGGAAATTCTGCAACTTCGACAGCTAGGGTTGCTCCACACAATTCTAATCTTGGAATAGTGTGAGCCGGTGTTGGAGCTAACTTGGCTCTTCCTAGAAGAAACCCGACATGGGATCTCCCGGAGGAATCTATGA